CAGTGCCTGCACTCTGAAGGAGGGGTGTTAATGTTGCAGTTTAAAAACTGTAGTGTGAAGCACCCTTCTGGCAAGACAGTGATGGAGTGAATGATGGTGAAAGTTTTTCTTTTTCGGGCCACCCTACCTAGGTGGGAATCGGCCAGTGTGATAATAATAATAAAAATAATTTGTACTTTTTTGGGGGGGCCTAAAACTATACTGGCAGGGATTGAGTGTATTGGGAGACACTAGGAAGGAGCAAACTTGCTTATGAATTACTTTTTTGAAGATTTTAGATAGTAATGGCAAGCTGGATAATGGCTAATACGTAGTTATTTACCTCTGTTGGATCACTCCTTTGTGTATTGGGGTAACCCTTGCTACCTTAAACATTGTTAGCAAAATTACAAATTCTAATGATGTGTTGAACAAAATTGCAATAGTGGGTGACAGCACATGAGTTTCTTTTTTGTACATTAGTGGCAGTAAATCAGTTACGTTTCCTATGTTGTTTTTCAGTGAATTTATTAGAATTAGGATTAGTTGGAGCTAAATAGAGTGAATTTGGGAAATTTCCAGTAAGGTAGTCACTCGCCTGAGCATGTGAAGTTGGGATTTCGCTAACAAGTCTTGATCCTATAGTAGAGAAGAAATCATTTAGTATGTTAGGTGTTTCTGCAGGCTGGATGTAAGGTTCATCCAATTTAATTAATATATCTCTGGTTTTAGCAGGTTTTCAAGAGTCCAGGATTTCAGAAAGGGTTTTCCAGGTCTTTTTCATATCCCCTTTCATTTCATTAAACCTGCTTGCATAATTAAGTTGTTGAGACTTCCTTACTAGATTGGCAAGTACTGATGTATATATTGTTTGGTCCGTTCTTTAGTTATTCAGCCCAATCCAAACTGTTGTTCATACAGTTATCCAAGGGATGTGATACCTGGCAGGAATATTGCAGAAAACAAAAAAATGTTGGTGATCCTCCTAATTTTGCACTGCAGTGTTTTTTGTTTATAAATACAGTTTTATGTTTTTATATTCCAAGTTCTCATACTGAGTTCACAAAAGTGCTTTAGTTATTTTCTTTTCCTAAGATCAGAACCTCACATTTGTCCACATTGAACTGCATCTGCCACTTCTCCAACCACATCATCATCCTAGCCATCATACTGTAGTTTTCTACTCTCCTTATCAGAAATCATTCGATGGCCTGTCTAGTGCTGATCCCTGTAACACACCACTTTAATGGGTCACAATTCTGATATTTCACCATTTATGCAAACTCTCTGTTGCCTATTGATCAACCATGCTTCAGCTCAGGAGATAATTTCTCCTACATCATATGCTGCTGCTATCCTCGTCAGTCTCCTGTGTGGAATTCTACCAGAGGCCTTACTGAAACCCATATATACAATATAGCATTCTTTATGATGGTCTACCACCATGAATATGTATCATAAAAACGGTTACGTACCAGTATCGGCAGGAATGTCCCTTATTAAACTGTGCTGAGATTCATTGATTATATTATTTCTTTTGAAGTGGATTTGAATTACATCCACAATTATTGATTAAATGGTCTTTCTCACAAGCTGATTGAACTATAATGGATATAACATTTGTCATTTTCCACCCATCCGGTTGATACCCATTTGTAGTGATCTGTTGAGGAGACTAGCTAATGATTTACTATGTTTCTCTTTACATTCCTCTAGAACGTCAGTTGGTATTGCACTCAGCTCACACATTGAGGTTTGTTGCTCAGTCCCCGGTACAGGTAAAAACATTAGAGCATGTTTCCTTAAAACACCTACTGTCCATGTTCACCTGTTAGTAAAATAGGTTCCTAGATGTTAGTTTGACTGGTGTGAGTTGCATCCTGAGGACAAAATTAACATAAAATTGCCTAAAATGCTCTGCATAAGAAGGGGCTTTCTATATATTATGTCACTGATGTCAGCTGTTGTCTGTATAAGTTGTATTATATACTTGTAGAAATCTTCTTCTTTCAACAAACCGGCCGTATCCCACCAAGGCGGGGGTGACCCAAAAAGAAAAACGAAAGTCTCTCTTTTTAAATTTAGTAATTTATACAGGAGAAGGGGTTACTAGCCCCTTGCTCCTGGCATTTTAGTCGCCTCTTACAACACGCATAGCTTACGGAGGAAGAATTCTGTTCCACTTCCCCATGGAGAACTTGTAGAAATAGATTATTATTATATTGTTTGGTTTCTATCTATGTCTGAGGGCCATGTTGCTCGTGGCTTTGATCTGCATAATTTAGTTTTAACCTGACCTGTATTATTATTGAGTTCTGGGATTTCATTTCCATCATCTTATATAAGAACAGAGTAAATAAATGTTGATAATGGTACAAATTTCTTTGTCGCTAATGGCAAGATGATCTGAGTTACATTAAAGTAGGCCTATTTTTTCCTTATCATGCCTGTATACTGGAAAGAAACCCTTTGGGTTTTGGCCTTAGATTCCATAGTAACCTTAATTTTGTATTCTTATGTTGCTTTCCTCATTCCTTTTCTCCACTTCTCTTAAATTGAATAAATTGGTCTTGATTTCAAGCACTTGTAAATGCCTTTTTTTTTTTTTCCACCTAAGAGGTGCTTTGGTCTATTCACTCATTTAGGATTATTTGTGTTTGGTCTGATCTATCTACTAGGAATATATGTAGTTTAGACAGCTTGTACAGTGCTTTGGAAAAAGTTATATTGATATGCATCACCACTGTCTTGTCATCCTAATCAGGTTACCCCAGGCTACACTACTCTGGTAATCCCTTAGGTCCATATAATCTGCAGTGCAAAAATTGGAGACTTTGTCTCCTGATGTTATTAAGAGTATTCCATGAGATATTGAATCTCATTTTTATTAATTGCATGAGATATTGAAACTAAGTGATTTATCAATTTTTCCAAGCTCTTCATTAACTTCAAGATCATTTACCAGAGATTCCTTGTTTATCAGAACCAAGTCCGACTTTATTTCCTTGAGTTGGTTGACATGAACTGTTTTAAAAAGAAGTCTTGGACTATGGTACTACTAAAAATTCACTAGACTCCTAGATTTCTTGTCAGATTGCCTCAGTACGTTGGCTAGGATAAAATATCCCATTAAAACTATACTTCCCTATCTAGATGACTTAGAAAAATTAGCTTTTCATGCCCTTGAAGAAACTGTAGCAAAAGTGTTCAGTGTTTTCCCTTCAGTCTTTTATATAATTTCTGATGCAAGAGTTTAAATATTCCCTAACATATTTAGCAACCCTTTCATTTCCTGCCGAGTCTTTATCACTGTGGATTAATTTATTCACTTGATGAGCAAGGTACTGCAAAGGAGTTCATTGTTATTTTCACCACAAACTGGCTATTCAGTATTTTTTTTAACACTGTCCATCTCCCACAGAGGCAGGGTGACCCGAAAAAGAAGAAACTCTTTTATAAAGTTTTTCATCATTTTACATTTAGTAATTTATACAGAAGGGATTACTAGTCCCTTGTTCCCGGCATTTTAGTCACGTCTTGCGAAATGTGTGGTTTACGAAAGAAGACTTCTGCACTTCCCCATGAACACAGACAAGAATCAAATACTCAAATCTCCATTCATTCTTCTGTTTGTAGGGTATGAGATTAGCTGTACCATGAAAGCTTCTGAGACTGGGAAGAAACAGTAGGGTCACGGTTGATATAATTGTCTTCATTTCTTATGTGATGTATGACCTTCATGGGTTGGCATGCCACCATTAATATTTGCAATAAACCTAAACCCAAGTCATTCATGTGAAAGTTCTAAATTGTGAGGTCATATAGCACCTGGGAAATAAGAGGTAATCAGTTTTGATCTGAGAAAGGGTAAAGTACTGTAGCTCTTAATCCTTGAATCAAGAGCCCTTCTGCCTCAGGCAAGCTACTCTTCCCATTGAGTTGTGCAATACAAATAATTAAAGGTAAGAGCTGAAGTACAAATTAAGAAGGGGTTGAGGTATTTTAGATATAACTTATCTCCTGTAAATCACAAAATGAGTGAATATGAAAACCACCAGTGGTGCACTCCAGTACACACCATTTTATAATCCATTAAGGTAGGTGGTGCCTTGATGTCAGTGACGGGGCTCTAGATCCAAGGATCAGATCTGATTACTTCTCGTTCTCCAGGTGCTGTATGATCCTCATGGATAAGAGGTTTGCTGTTTACCCATTAGTACACTAATGATACTCTATGAATTCATGTACTGTACCTGACAGTTGTAATGAGAACGGTAAAGTTGGCAAGATTTTCATTAAGAATTGCTAAACCCATAGGGATCATACAGCACCTTGGAAATGGGTGGAAATCAGGTTCAGTCTAAGGAAAAGGAGAGTATATCTAATTCTTAAATCAATTATTTACTTGACAATGTCAAATTAGGTTTTCTTGGTGAAATTAAGAAAGTATTTTGTGAAGGGATTCTGGGAAACCAGTTAGTTAGACTTGAGTCCTGGTCTCAGTAGTATCAGTTCCTAGTAACCAGTTACCAGTAGTATGACTCGCTACGTTTTGAACCCCCACATGACACTGGAGGTGGGAAGTACAATGCCTTCACTCTAAAGGAAGGGTTTTGGGATATTTGCTGTTTGGAGGGACATCTAAACTGTTGTATCTGTGCACCTCTGGCAAGACAGCAAGTGTGAATAATGGTGAATTATTATTATAATCATGGGGGAGCGCTAAACCCGTAAGATTATACAGCACATGGGGAGGGGGGGGGGGAGATAGAAGGTATTCAGGTTCAATTCAGGGAACTGAAGCACAGATCCAATTCCCTAGATCAAGAGTCCCTCACCAGCATCAAGGAACCTCCCTTGAGGGGTAATGGTGGTGAAAGTGTTTCTTTTTCGGGTCACCCTGTCTCGGTGGGAGGCGACCAGCGCGTTAAGAAAATTTTTTAAGAAAGTTTCCGAGATATCCAAGATGACTTTCAGTATTGCCAATTATTTCTTGAACTCTTGGTAAATAAGACAATAAATTAACCCATTTAAGCATTTATTTGTTTTCAGAAAATATTCCAAAATTCTGGGTTATGACCCCCATGGGGTCTGTATACCAAGCTTACAGAACCAGTCGGCTAGACAGGCTTAGAGAAACATTTGACCCCCCCCAAGGTTCCTGCAAAATAAGGAACAGTGAAACTTCAGTAGAGGTGGAATTGGCACTTCTATTCATAACATCACTATGAATGCAAATCCCTGGTTGTAATATTTACCTTTGTTACTAAAGTCTATTAACAATTTTAACTACACAATTAGCTCACAAACTGGTGATGAAGCTAGATAACATTTCTGCTTGTTGTGGACCATCACTTGTGATGTTCTGGTGGTCTAGGATGGACCAAAGCTTTAACTAGTTTCATCAATAATTTATAAGCCAGTTGGGAATTGTTTCAGTCATGGTACTGTAGCTTTTATTAGATTTTTAAGAGTAGAAGGATCTGCAGTCCTAGTGATCCAGGGTGAACCATCCAAAATAAAAGTTTACAGTAAAATAAGTAAAAGTGAAACAACTGTTCTCCAATCCAAGCATAACTTTTTTTTATACAAAATATGAAGATTGTCGCATGATTTATTCTGCATTCTCATATTTTAAAAATGAATTGTGCATAATTTTTAAAGTTTTCTTCATTTCCCATCCTTTAGTAGAGTAGCAGAGCAAATAAAAGCAAATAAAATTTAAGTACCTAGAATAATTTAGATAAAATAAACTACAGATTGTTTATTACAGTTTCAACAAGTCAACAGGAACAATAATAAACTTCTCCAATGGTTAGGCATAACTATTTGTGAGCATATGCAAGAGTATAAGCCAAAGCCTTAACCTAACAGGAGCACCCTATATACTCATGAAATTTTTATCAGGATTGACGAACTCTTGCGGCACGACTGTGACACTATGGGAGGCTGTGCGTGCCTGTCATGTCAGCAGCATGAACACACTGTGATACATGGAGTTGTTGATATGTTGAAATGCTCGATTGAAAACACAAGCAGTGGAAAATTCTGTGCATGAAGTCAACATACAGTTACTGTATTAATGACGTCTGTTAATGTGTGAAATAATAACTTAGTTACAGTATATAAATAATTTCAATATCAGCAGTATTAGTTCTGAGATATAAAAAAATGTAATAAAACAGTGAATTACAAATTTAAGTGGTGGACACATTTTCAAAAATTACCTTATAACCAATTTTATTTGTCACTTTTTGTTTCAATTTTTAAAACCTCTTATGAGCTAACTTCTTATAATCTGTGAAATTATATTTCGTCAAGTCTTGTTAAACAGTGACATGGAAGGGGGATCCAGGAATGTGGTCGTCACCCCACTTGACAATCAGGATGTAGTCCCCCTTGTCACGAACAACATAACCAATCTGGGTGGAGAGAGAGGAGTTATAAGAGAGTATCCAAGGCATTCAAGTAACACAATGAAACATTGATTTAATAAAGGGTTGAGGCATCCATAAATGTTGACTGTCCATTAAATCCGACTAATAAAATTATTTTTCCATAATTTAAACAATACCAAACAATTTACCAACAAACCATAACAATAAAGACAATTCTGGATTTAATGAATTTAGTCTGGCCACAGATGTAAATCAAAGTTTTATTGTTAAACCTAATGGCTACATCACCCAAGTATAAATCTTCTTGCTCATGGAAAAAAAATTATGGGTGAAATTATTATTCGTATGTTGTTAGCTTTAAAAAACAAATGTGGAGCTGTACTACATAGTGACAATGGCACAGTATGTACTGTACAGAAAAATACACTATAATATCTTGATCCTGGGATGCAGTTTAAAATAAATGAGAGCTAATGCCATAGAGAAAAAGTAATTTCCTGGAATAATTTTAAAAACTGCTCACTTTTGTCAGTGGGTAAAATTTATAAATAATTTGTACTTTATGACTGCAGAATTATAATTATAATTTAACCAAAGAATATAATCTGAACATCTGCCACTTAAATAAGAAAAAAAGTCATAATATCATGACTGGAACAATACACAAATAATCTGCACATAAAAGAGAGGAGCTTACAATGACGTTTCAGTCCGACTTGGACCATTTACAAAGTCACACTAACAGTTAGTGTGACTTTGTAAATGGTCCAAGTCAGACTGAAACATTGTTGTAAGCTCCTCTCTTCTGTGTGCGGGTTATCTGTGTATCTGCCACCTAAATGTTCCCTTAAATAATAATGAGTCCTAGCTTGTAATGTTTACAATTTTCAAATTTACCACAATTAATGGGTAAGTATCCGGTTTTATTTACTTGTGCATGATTAGCACATTGCTTCCTTCACATATAAGTAATCTGTGGTTTGTATGTTTCCATGAATCAAGTTGTAAAGTAAAAGGACATAAGTGCAACTAATGTGACATTTTATTGTGGCAACGTTTCGCTCTCCAGGAGCTTTATCAAGCCATTACGTAATGGCTTGATAAAGCTCCTGGAGAGCGAAATGTTGCCACAATAAAATGTCACATTAGTTGCACTTGTGTCCTTTTACTTTACATATTGTCGGTAATTCTACCAACTTTATCATGAATCAAGGTACTGAACTCTATGACTAGGCTCCATCCACTGCTAATTGTCTAGACAGCATTTTGTGACCTGCATTTATAATAATTTTTTTGTTACTATAAGAATCATTCAATAATTTTTAGGTAACAACTAACTAATAATAGTTATGTAAAAGCATTTACCTTAACTGTTGTAATGGGAAGCCTTTTGTTAAGAGTAACACTATACTAGGCCAAGTATTTTTTTGGTAGCCTTTTACCAATTTAAGAAATTGTTATAAAATACCTCTGTAACTATAGAAAATCATAAATAAAAGAAACAAAAATGCCATGCCACAAAAAAAAAAAAAAATGCTTGCAATCATGGCAATTCTAATTTAAGATGTGAACAGGGAAAGACATGTCAATCATAAACACATGCAAGAAATTTGTATATAATACAATGTGGGTAGAACTGACTTGCCTTACCATGATTATGAAGCTGCAGTGATAGACAATATTTAAGTAACTTGAACATATCCACAGAAACAAAATAGGACAAATACAAATTCTACCCACATGTTGACATTTATTTGTTTTAATTAAACTGGGTCACCTGAAGATTTGCCCATCTCCCTTAGGAAAATTGAAATATAACCACTATGAAATTTTTTTTTTATACAAACTTTTTTTGCACCAAAACTAACATAGTAATCTGCCATATCCAAGCTAAAATTTACTTAAAATATTTCACCATATCTAAAAATCTGCATATAGTGTATTACAGTTATCTTCAGGAAGAAAGGGGAGGACAATTTTCAGATTACTCATCAATTTATAATTCAACAAATGGATGTATTTTCAACACTCATCAGTTAGATATCCTATCACAAAGAATTACACAAAGTAAATATTCAAGGCAAAAATGAGTATCTGGGTTTGTGAAGTAGACTTCATAACTAAAATTACTTTTCTGATTTGTTCATACTGTTAGGTTTCTTTAGTGAAATTTTTTCAATAAGTGAAATGTAGCACATCACTAGTGTGATTAGCATATACTTTAGTGATGACTGGTTAAAACTTATAACTTGCACAGCATGAGAAGACTTGAGAGGAAAACTCAGAGAAGGCAAAAACTTTGTTTTTAAAACAGGAATAGCAAATAGCAAAATACATTTGTTATTTAGTAAAAATTTGAAGCTGAAAAACTATGTAAAATCAATATTCTTAAACTGAAAATAATTTAGTTTAAAAATATTTAGTATTACTCTGAATTATTATTTTACCATGTTACACTGTCTTGAGGCAAACATGCTATAAAATCCAACCATAAAACTCGTAATAGCAAAACTAGGCATTCTAGGAAGATAGACTACTGGGAGAGGAAGGGTTAGCGAGACTGAGGGGTATGGCACACACACCATAACAAGAGAGACATGGCAAACCTATCGCTTTAGTTTTGTCTTAGAGGGGATTATCTTATACGTTGATGGCGAAGGGAGAGCCAGGAATGTGGTCGTCTCCCCATTTGACAATGAGGATGTAATCTCCTTTGTCGTGTACCTTGTAACTGATCTGAGTTTGGGAAAAAAATACAAGATATTCTAGTCTCCTGCAACAACCTTCAAATCCATTGGACAGATTTTGATGCAATAAATGTTAGCAGAATAATGAAAGTTAAATATAGGAGTCATCAATCAAAACAGTAATTTGGGGTTATCATACCTATTTCATGTCTAGGGCAAAGGTGTCAGACCAGGCAAAGGAAAAATGCAAATATAACATGTCTAGCAAGATTTTCTGCAAAAGGGATTGACAAAAACAAATTTTTTCTGATTGGGGGGAATGAAATCTGAGGAATTTGTCATTCCAGGCAGAGGGATAACAATCCAAACTTAACATACAACTGCTATGAGATTCTTTGTGGGTGATATTAGAACATTGTGACCAAGAATGGGGAGCCAGGGATGTGGTTCTCGCCCCACATGACCAAGAGGATGTGGTCACCACGATCTTTGATCTTGTAACTGACCTGTGTTTAGAAGATAAGTTGATAACTTGCTTTTCAAATTTTCTACACTACAGTGTAATTCAGGTATGAAAATTACTATTTGTACTATTAATTTATTGCAGTATTTTTAATCCTGTCCATCACTTTTAGATTTCCATCTGAATGGGATTGTACCTGCATATGTAAAAATTATGAAGATAAAAGGTAAACATCAAAAAGATGGGGAAGGGGGTGGTACATTATGTACAACATGGGGTAATAAATAGTTTCCACACTTGACCATAAGAGACATTACATTTCTACTCTTTCTTTTTTACATTTTATACAATCTTTTTTTTTTTCATATCTACATGACTCCCCTATATTAATTATGCCTTTAGTGGTAGCATCACAACTTTCATTCACTAATCTATCACTTTAAAAATCTTTATCCATAGGTTTTGTAACATGCTGATCATTTTCCACAAAGATTAGGTCACAAAGAAGGAAAACACATTCATCATCACTCCTTCTATGACTGTCTTTCCAGAAGAGCACAAGCCCCACAATGATCCAGCAAAAAATCCCTACCTACCCACTTAGCTTTCATAGCATGTGTGTTTTAAACCTTGCCTCCAGAGCTCAATGCAGGTAGCTTGTTTCCCAGAATCCCTTCAAAGATGTTACCTTGTCAACACTCTACCAACACATCAAATTCCAAAAATCGTGTCTCCGCTCACTGTTACTGAACACACGCACATGCCTGCTGGATGTTTTCCCCTCAGTAAGAAATCAGGTTGAGGAAACTGTGGCTTTGGCAAAGGCTGAGAGATCTGAGGCATGAAACTGACATCTAACAAAGAATGTTAAGAAAATGAAGAATGTGCAATGGTAGGAAATGAAGCTAGTTTCATAACTAAGGGGCATGAGCTATGAGGAGAGGTTAACAGAATTGAATATAACATTGGACAAGAACCACAAGACACGATAACAATATCCAAAATATGCAGAAGAACTGATGGGTAGACAGGAAAAAGGCTGTCTGAGAGTGGGAAACAGGTACTTAAATGCACAGCTGGATGTAAGTAACCTGGATGTCAGGAAGTATTTCTTCACTTTTAAAGTGGCTGGTAAGTGGAATGACCTTGACGAGGAAGTGGTTTTACACAGACTACATACTTAGTTTCAAGAGCAGGTATGATAGGGCCCAAGAGGCTAGGAGGGAGTGAATTTGGCAAGTTGAGAACTGGGACCAGAACTTAAGACTTCACCCCTGCAACTTCATATAGGTGACAACTCTGCATCTGCATCAACAAAAATCCACCGCCATCCACCTAAACCCATTAGGGTCATATCAACTCTCTCTACATATATCCATGTCACCAAGCAATAGCAACTACAATGTGAGGCAAGATAAACTGTATTAATTTTTACATTGTATACTATTGTGAAAAAAAAAAATGGCAAATTTTAAAAAATTTGGAACATAACCTTATTTTCCCATATATTCTTCACATACTGCTAATTTCCATAAAACCCCAATTTTCAGGAAAATATCCTGAGTTATGAGAGGGATTATTATATATGCTCAACTACCATAAGAAGTTTTAAAAACATTGAAGATTTCTGTAATAAAAACTGTAATTAAAAATCTAGGAATGCCAAATATTATAGCAGCCTAAGTCTAAAATAAAATAATTTTAATTTTATTCTTAGTGATAACATGTCATGCTGAATCAACTTGATGACTCACAGTTTATTAAAGTATCGTCACTCGACACCTTAACTTAAAGTAAGCCTTTAATTTGTCAAATGATAAAAGGAGAAAATAATAATGTTTTGTATATGTGTACAAATCATTAGAATAATTTAGCTATAACAAAATTCTACTGCTTTATCTTACCTGGTAATTATTATGTCCAATATGCTTAATATACACCTCTTCACATGGTGCCTTAGGGCCATATACACCTACATACAGAATGTTGGTACCTGAAATTACATTACGATGATAACATTCTATAATATATTTACATTAAGAGAAAACTTTACTATGATGGGTGTAATATATTAGTAAGCTTCATTAATGATACAAATTATTGTTTGTTCTTCAAAATCTATGTAAACTTCAATGACCCACATGAGTTTAAAGTCATTTTTGTGAAAGTACGTTAATGTAAGTGACGGATTCTTGATTCAAGAGCCCATCACTGACATTACCAACCCTTATTAATAATAATTATTTGAGATTTTGTTATTCTTGAGTGCCTCTTTTATGAAGAAATTTACAAGCACTTGTCTACTTCCCATTTCCAGGTACTGAATGACCCCTATGGGTTTGGTGCCTCCCCGTCAATATTATAATGTGAATATAATAATAATTTTGCTCCATGGGGAAGTGGAAAAGAATCCTTCCTCTGTAAGATGTGTGTTGTAAGAGGTGACTAAAATGCCAGGAGCAAGGGACTAGTAACCCCTTCTCCTGTATAAATTACTAAATGTAAAAAGAAAAACTGTCCTTTATCTTTTTAGGTCAACCTGCCTTGGTGGGAGACAGCTGGAACTTAAAAAAAATAATAAATATTCAATCTTTAGGCTAATTTTCTCTCAAACTATGCAAAAACAAATTAAATATTTGGATGTTGTATATCCTGTGTAACAAAGATCAGTCTTACTAACCAGCAGTAGATGCATTGACAGTGAAGTTGTTCTGGCGGTTGATGTGAGCCTTTTTCAACCCTAGACCCTTGCTTGTTACCTTCGTAGCATCTGACTGGAACCTGTAAAGATTACTCTCTATAACCTACTCTTATCTTGTAACACACACAGTCTTCGAGTTTAAACTCTAAAAGATAATACGTACAGGATTTTGTGTAGGCCACACCCCTTCAAACAATGTGTTGGTAAAATAACCAAGTCATATGATACTTCTTCCTTCAAGGGTAGAGGTGGGTTGCCTTCATGTTGGTGAAAGCCCCGTAATCCAACAAGTTGGAACTATTCTCTTCATTGGATTCAGGTATACTGTATAATTTTTATTTACCCAAAGGAGTCAAACTTCAAACAGAACCCCCCCTCCATATTATACGAGATGGCATTAATTAGATGCACATATCAAAAAAGTACAGTGGAACCTTGGTTTTCGTATGCCCCAGTTTTCATAGGATTCACTTTTCGACAACTTTTTTCATCAAAATTTTGTCCCAGTTTTTGTACATCAGCTCAGTTTTCGTAGAGTTGAAAATGGTCTGTACCAAATGCGTCCGCGTGACTTGGCCACTCAAGTGACCACACAAAGCATCCCATGCATCTGTGACTCAGTCTGCCTTTGTTTCTCGTTGAGTGAGTATTTCTCCGCACGTTCATCCGAAACATTTCATATTAATCCATTGTTTTTTTGTGCTTGTTTATTGAGTGCAACTGCTAAATAAGCTACCATGGGGCCAAAGAAAGTTTCCAAGTGCCAGCCCTTTGATGAAGAAGGCGAGAAACACGATAGAATTCAAGAAAGAACTCGTAGCAAAGTGCGAAAGTGGTGTACATGTGGCTGATCTCGCCAGGATGTATGGGAAGTACATTCTGGCGAGATGTACTTCCCCTATCCGGGGAAGTAACCCTGGATAGGGCCTTGATACCAGAAGTCCTTATGGAAGGGGATTCCCCTTCAAAACAATAACCTCTCCTCCTCCCTCTCCCCTCCTCGCCGTCTTCCATAAGCCAACAAGTCTTCAATAAAGGTAAAAGTGATGTTAAATGTTCATTTTTCTATTTCATTAGTCATTTATATTTATTTCTCATTGTTTTCTGTATGTAAAACTATAGTTATTCTCTATAAATGTATTTTTTGTTAATATTTTTGGGTGTGTGAAACAGATTATGTAATTGGATTTACATTATTTCTTATGCAAAATATTGCTTCAGTTTTCGTATGATTCGGTTTTCGTCAGGCTTTTTAGAACTGATTAATCACGAAAACTGAGGTTCCACTGTATTCATAATATACATATTGTGTAGCAAATTTTAAAAAATTACAAAACTAGTTATTACCTTGGGATAACAGGACCCTGGTGTCCCTTTTCACCTGATTTGATCTTTTCTACTGTCTCCACCACCACAGATGAAGACTCCTGGATTGTGCCCTTCTCTGCATGGGCTTCACCAGTGCATTTTACCTGTTATCAGGCAAGAACATACAATATTAATAGTCCAAATGATATATTTTAGTTAAACATCCTTTACTGATAATGCAAAATGTTTTTAATAACTGTCATCACAGAGTATCAAAAATATTCTGTAAACATACTTTTTCAATAATTCATGTTGCATATTTTCAAAGAGCATTTTGTTAATATAACAAGAGATTAATGCAATGGTGCTAATACAAAATCTAACTGTAAAAAATTTATCTAAATATAATGACTTTACCTTCCAGGGTGATCCTGCTATATGATAGCCATTGTACTTGACAGCAATATAATAATCTCCAGGCACAAGTGGAGTATAGCGGACCTTATATCCCTCTTCCACCTCTGTACAATCCATAGACACCTTAGATGGACCATCTATTGTCACTGCTAGTGTTCCCGCCCCAGCGTTGCAAGTGTCAACAATGAAGTCAGTTTTCTGTCCTGTAAGGCACAGATTTTGGTGAGTAAATCATGAAAATGGAAAAATATAAAATATGATGCTTGTTTTGCCTTGATATTTACTGGTCTTGATATTTACTGCTACAAACATTTATCATCAACAGGTTGATAAACATATGTATACAGTACACAATAATAAACCTCGTTACTCTAATTTCATTTCCCATGGAGAAGCATCAGTTTGGTGCTTCTCCATGTTTATAATACATGTACGTCTTTTGCTCCCAAGGTTATAACGAAACAGATACAGTAAATGCAAAATTATTCATCAGCTTACCAGACACACATGCCTCTAGACCCTTGCCAGCAGCCGAGACTGCTGCCGGGTCGGCCTCATCCTTGCCAATGCGTAGTCTGAATGGTGAGCCAGGTATGTGGATACCATTGAACTTAATATGGATGTAGTGGATGCCAATTTCCTTTGGCACAAAGCGCACGCTATAAGTGTCATTGTCAAGAAGATCTGTGAAGCAATCCTCCTCTTGACCTGATGGAGCCACAAACTACAAAAGGAGCAAGAAAAATATGCCTCATTTTTCCTACTTGTAGTACCTTTGTAATTAAAGTTATTAAGGTAAAGAAGGTGTTTATGGTATCATTTGTCTTCACTTTTATCTTAAATGGTATATTTCCAGTTACTCTAGAAACATTAAGGAACTGATTTGATCAGCAAATCCAAATTTTGACACTCACTTAGCACTACCACTAACCTTCATATGGAAAAATAAACAAAATGTTTTTTACCTTACAGTCGAGATGGCCCTGTGCACCGTTCTTGGTGACAAGGAGAGACTGGGGCTTGTTTGGCATGGCACCCTGGTCAGGGAACTGAGCAATTTCTACTTTGCGAGCCTCACCCATGGATGGTGTGATGTATACCTTGTACGGGGAGTCGGGGATGTGCTTGTCGTTAAACTTGATGCCAACACGGTACTCACCTGAGGAAATAAAACCAGTTTATTGTAACCTACATAAAACTCATCACACAGGTAAGTAAATTTATTTAGGTACAGGTACATATAAGTGAAATTATCATACAAAGTATAAATTACCTAGAATAACCCCCCAATAAAACCACTGGGGTCCTTGAACATAGTTTTAGTGCTGTATGAACCTTTATGGTATAGTATTTTCTTGAGTATAACAATACCAAGATATTACTCTATGACTGTTTACATCCATACAGGATATAAATCACAGTACAGTGGACCCCCGGTTAACGATATTTTTTCACTCCAGAAGTATGTTCAGGTGCCAGTACTGACCGAATTTGTTCCCATAAGAAATATTGTGAAGTAGATTAGTCCATTTCAGACCCCCAAACATACACATACAAACGCACTTACATAAATACACTTACATAATTGGTCACATTCGGAGGTAATCGTTATGCGGGGGTCCACTGTACAGTACAGCTCTTATTTAAGTAGATGAAACCAAACTATGCTGTAGCATTACCAGTGGCAAGATCAGCATTGCTTTCAGAATTTAAATATTATTTAACTGAATTTAGTATTTCGCATTTTTTGATATTTATGTTTGCGATTTAAATCCTGGTGTAAAAAACTTAAGGCTGGAGCGTTTGACTTGAAAATCTGTCCTTGGTATACGCAACATTTGCTCTGCGGCAGCATTGTCTGCCAGCTTGCTGGGTAAAATAATATGACTGCCTGATGTATGATGAAAACTATTGATTTAAATTTTTTTTTTTTTTTATTATCACACTGGCCGATTCCCACCAAGGCAGGGTGGCCCGAAAAAGAAAAACTTTCACCATCATTCACTCCATCACTGTCTTGCCAGAAGGGTGCTTTACACTACAGTTTTTAAACTGCAACATTAACACCCCTCCCTCAGAGTGCAGGCACTGTACTTCCCATCTCCAGGACTCAAGTCCGGCTTGCCGGTTTCCCTGAACCCCTTCATAAATGGTACTTTGCTCACACTCCAACAGCACGTCAAGTATTAAAAACCATTTGTCTCCATTCACTCCTATCAAACACGCTCACGCATGCCCGCTGGAAGTCCAAGCCCCTCAGATAAATCTAGTATAATGTGAAAAGCATTCCGATAATAGAATTCCCTAACAATAATGCTGCATCTGTTTTCATCAATATAAAATAATTCCATCTGCCTCAGATTTGAGAACACTTAAGTGTTATTTGCTTACTGTAGCAATTTGTTCATGTCACTGGCTATTACAATACTATATTTTAATACAAGAAAAACTCACTCTTAAATGGTTTACAATTAAATATTTAAAGCCAATGTATGATCAATTTTACCTAGTTTTAATAAAATTTCTATCAAAATGAAAAGTATATTTACACAAATAAGTCACCATAATAATGTACAGTAACTTTTATTATCTGCAAATTTCCCTTACAAATTTCACTTCAAGGCAAGTGAAGATTCTGGTATATGTATCTTGAAGCTAACACCTGGAGCTACTCTCCCTTTCTTTGACTCAAACCCGACTACCTCCTTTACCCAGACACTATAACACCCTCCAGGTTTGGTGCTTCCCAGTATACACAGGTTCTCCTCGACTTACGATGGGGTTATGTTCTGATGAACCCATTGTAAGTCAAATAAGATATGATAAATGAGTAAATAACTACTATCACTGAATAAGTAAATAAACAAATAATTACTGTTAGTAACTAAATACCAATATGTAAAAGTAAATAAATGAGTACAAGTTTATCCTATCAATAAATGTACAGCACAAAAAAAAAGTTTTACAGCTATGACACCATTGTAAAGTCAAAATATTGTAAGCTGAACCATCGCAAAGCAAGGAGCAGTTATAATAATAATAATAATTTACTTTCATAAAGACGCCTATAACAAAATATTTAATTTGGAGCTTCCCCAAAATTACAGTTTCACTTCATCTGAAGCATTTATTTCATCAGAAAATTATCATGAGAAGAGAAAGTGAGACATAATAAGTAACATCAACTTGCTAGCAACATTCACATACAGTAGTATTAAAAAACAGTCCTCACATACTATCAAAACTACTGTGTTTGAGGTGCCCTACTTTGAGGCTGCCATTAATCAGTACAGATTAATGTTCTTGACTTTAAATGCATGCTTATTTACCAGCAGCTCATAAAATAAAATAATGAGAGACTAGAAGGCATTAACACTACATAAAACCTATCTCCAGAGCACAGTTAATGAATAATGTCAGCAATGTAACCCAAGCTAGCAAAGACATGAATGACATTCAGAAACCTATACAAAGAAGCAGTGAGGACAATATATGTAACATATGTCTAACCAGTAGCATACACGATGCCATTTTAGATCCAGAACCTATTTTTTTTTTTTCAACAAACCGGCCATATCCCACCAAGGCAGGGTGACCAAAAAGAAAAATGAAGGTTTCTCTTAAAAATGAAAGTTTCTCTTCCAGAGCCTAATTATGCACAAATAAAAATAAAAATTAGAAAGATCTGAGACATGCCTGGTACCAGAACTGAAAAATGAATGCAATGGAGACCCCCACCCTCGAGTGAAGTTCATGGAAATGTCTATCCAAGGAATTAAATGTGTCCTCCCCTTCCTTGGATTAAACATGGCTGCCTCCTATTCCCCAGGTACTGTATGTCTCCTACGGATTTAGCATTTATCCTCTGAATACACTGATAGTAAACTATGAAGAGAGTGCATGAACTTGACCTCACAAGCCTAGAGATCTCTATAGTGTCATTGTACATTAACAGAAAAAATAAGAAACCAATACAGTGCTTGCTACTACTGTACCTCCATAATGTATATACATGTATAATATACATGTTGTACTATGCCACTATGTGTACTGTACTTGGAAGAACAACAATTACAGTACTGCAAGCATTACTGTGCAGCCCTAATCACTCAAGAAATTGAATTACCCTCTCCTTCTTTGGATCAAACCCAATTACCACCTATTCACCCCAGGTGCTGTTATCATTCTTACAGGTTAAGTATTTCTTCATGAATGTTATGGCTTGACAAAGCTCCTGGAGAGCAAAACGTTGCCACAATAAAATGTCATACTAGTTGCACCTGTGTCCTTTTACTTAACACAGTGTCGATAATTTTACCAATATTAATGCACAAATATTATCCCTACTTTGAGTATTTGCTATTTTAACCCTTAAACAGTCCAAAATAGATCTACGTTCACGTGTGTAGTGCTCTGACCTTGATTTTCCCCATTTGAAAGCATGTAAAAAAAAAAACGTAGATCTACGTTCAGAGCCTGCCGCACATCAACGTATATCTACGTTTGGACAGTTTAAGGGTTAAACAAGACTGATTACTTCCACAACATTTCATCCTCCAACTACTACCCATTTTCAGTGTTTCGGTGTAGCACAGTAGACTACTATACACCTTCACAAACAGTGTTAGATAGTTGGTTATACTGGTATGTTAAACAGCCTCCTGGAAATTTTACAATATTTATGATAACAGACAGGACTCCACGAGACATTTACTATAGGTAAATAACAGTTATTTCATACATAGCCCACCTTGATCATCATGAGGTGTAGGGTGTGGAAGGCCATAATGATGAGGATTGGAGAGAGGGTGGGAGTAGGAGAGGGGCTGAGGGGGCAGTGGATGTGCTTGCACATTCTGCGGGTGGTGGGCATAAGCTGCTGGTAAAGGGCATGAGGGAGCAATCACCTCATGGCATGTGGGTGCGATGAGAGGCTGCGGGTGTGAACTGACAGAACCACCCCCTACAGTGTAGGAGCAGAAAGTCTTATAGCGTGGTGGAAAGTTGTCACCCATACTGTTAAGGAGAGATGCCCCTTCCTTTACCAAAAGCTAGCGAGTTTGGCAAATTTCTCGTGGCTTGAAGCACGTCTCTGGACTGATATACAGTGCTAGCATATCAGTTTTCAATAAGAAAATTGACATTCTCCATAACAAGTGGTACTCGCTGTTCATGTTCAGCACTACAAGGGAACACATTAGTGTTATTAAGTGTTTTTAAAGTACCATGTTCCTTTTTTCTGTCTCCATGGCTCACCAATAATGAGAACACATGCATTTCATCACCCTTTTTAAAACCTCCTAAAAAATTTTAGAGCAATTAAATAGTTTACGAGATTCCCAAAAATATTTTCACATTTGTAGGTGCTCACATGCTAAAAACAATCACTTATATTTTAACTATTACTGTTATGTTATCTTGATGCAATAACAAAGTATGAAGGCAATAAAATACAAAGAACAGAGTCATCTTGAATTTAATAAGTGGCATGTTGATGCCACTTAAAATGGGAGGTCGTTATGAAGGGGACACTGGAGATGTCTGTATCGTGATCACAAGACTGAAGACTGAGCCTCCATCACCTTGCACCAAATGACCCAAACTAACTTTTCATTCTCCATAATGTATTTATATTTTTGTGAACTGTGTCAAGTAAGGCACACGTGTATCTTTCCTGCACTTGAGTAACTGTTCCATTAACTGTCTCGTGTATCTCTATTTTATCATATAGGGTACACACATTCCTGATTGACTGTTCCACTGACTGTCTTGAGTATCTTTACTACTGTATATAAAGTAGACTGCACATGCACTTGACCAACTACTTCACAAATATCTCCTTTATTGCGTATTGCACATTTGCACCTTCCTTCCACTTGACTGAAATTTCCAACAATTGTCTCGTAGATTCTGTATCTACAGTGCAACACTAAAAATGATGCAGTAAACAAATTGTAAAGTCAAGTTGGTGTATGGAGTCAGGGAGACTCGGTAGCAACACGGCCGTCTTCCCTACACTTGGCACACTCACTGAATTCTCTCTCCCTAACCCTTTCCCTCACCCCCTCTCTCCCTGACATCACTTCCCCACCTCAAGCCTCTTCCTGACATTCATCACCCTGAGTTCTTCCCCAACCACTGTTTCTTAGCACCCCCACT